GGATATATAGATAAGAGCCATAGATTTCTCACTGTAAAAATAAAACTTTCATAAGTCCAATTTTCCTCCGTCTAGCAAGTTCAGACACCTTTCACGAACTATCCATTTATTTGCATGACATGTTTTCACTTGTATTTTACCTATCTGCGCTAAATGACCAATATGTAAAAGATATTTATTCCTTGTACTCTTAATCTAGCTACTAATAAGTGATCCGACACATCAGTTTTTCTCTAAAAGAGCTTGTCCATTCAAACTGCTCACTCTGAATGTATTTTCCACCTGTAGACTGGTCTCACTGCTCACCTCATGTTCTTCATAGTTTCATTAGAATCCTTGATACAATTATTGCCTATTAGTGAACTATTTAAGCGAAATTCAGAAAAAATTGCTAGATTATTACTAATACTAGGTAGTTAGTATTTTCCTGCCACACCTCTCACAACATTGTCATTAATTACACTTTCTTTTAGCATTCCTGCCAAAGTTAAACAAAAGTGGGAAAGATGAGTAATATTGTTGATGTGAATTGTAGGCGAACACTTGATACAACTCTACTCTTGATAAAACTCTACCCAGAGTAAAACGTGACTTGATAAAGACCTGCACAGAGCAAAATGCAGTCACAAAGTTTATTCTCAATTAAGTGCTATCCACAAGGCAAGAGTGTGATCAATACCAGCACTCTCAACTCTCCTTCCACTCTCTTCACAACAACGTCTTCCATTTTAGCACGAGATCCTCACTAAGTAATTATTCTTCACTTTTAAAATCCTTTATTTTACTTCCCCTATTATATATTTTCTCTATATTCCCCACTTTCTCTCTGCTCCTGACATCCTTTCTCCTCCTGTGCTGCTCTCATTTTCGTTCTCTTTGTTTTCGTATTGTCTACGACTTCTTTCGCTCTTTCTATTTTCTTAACTCTCTCTTAAATTTTCATTACAACTGCCCCTGGGCTGACAGGTGCATTGTTGTCCAGCTGCTTTGTGTCTGCGTTTGTCTGTCAGTCTGTCTGAAACATAATTCCAAAAGTTTGGAAGCTATTTGAACTAAACTTAGCAGAGGTATTTTTTACGAAGCAGACAAAGAACTGGTAATTAAGTTTCGGCGAACATAAATAGGATGAAAGTTCAAGACCAAGGTAGGATCCCTTTCGCTGGCTATCCTTCGTAATATAGGATGAGTCTACTGTAGGAGTTTTCTGACGATCCTTCATGACGGTGTATGAGACCATAGTGAGATTCCTCTCAGTGACAATTCTTCGTGACGTAAGACGAGTCCTTTTGTTTACTGTCGTGTCTGATGCAGTGGTGGTTGCTGCTGTGGCATCTGATGCTGTGAATTACTCACACACACACACACACACACACACACACACACACACACACACACACACACACACACACACACACACACACACACACACACACACACAAACTACCACAAAACCCATTCACCTTACAGTAAACCACAACTGTGTTTACAGAGCAAAGGAGTAAGAGGAGTTAGGTCAGAGTCAAGTTGAGGACGGAAGTGTGCCGCTGTGATGCTTCATCCTGGATCTCCTGCACAAGTTCCGGTCTCTCCCAGCCTGGGATGTTGGTGAGTGCTGGTGATACAACCAGGGGAGCAAGGTGATACAACAGCGGCCAGAAGACATAAGCAGAGAGGAAAGGAGAGAGAGAGAGAGAGAGAGAGAGAGAGAGAGAGAGAGAGAGAGAGAGAGAGAGAATGAGAATATGTACAACTTGCGATTTTGGGTTAAATAGTAAAGCTTTTCTTGCCGAATAAGGAAAGCGAAAATTTGTTTTCATCTGAGGTGTCTGCTGCTGTGGTGTCTGTTGCTCTTGTCTGCCGATGTTATGTCTCCATCTACGGTGTATGCCCCGCTAGGGTCTGCTGCTCTATTGTGTGCTGCTCTAGTGTCTGCTGCTCTAGTGTCTGCTGCTCTAGTGTCTGCTGCTCTAGTGTCTGCTGCTCTAGTGTCTGCTGCTCTAGTGTCTGCTGCGCTATTGTCTGCTGCTCTAGTGTCTGCTGCTCTAGTGTCTGCTGCTCTAGTGTCTGCTGCTCTAGTGTCTGCTGCTGATGTATGAATTTACTTCTCATTTCCACTCATTCTGTAGCTTCGCTTCTGTAGCCAGAGTTTACACTGTTAATGTTTACCTTAACTACTCAAATATTCTCCCATTGTTCGTGTTTTTCCCTTCTTTATCATCCATCTGCATAGCTTCGTTGCTAATTCTTTGTTTACGCTTCCTCTTTCTCTATCTTTCTCTCTCTCTCTGTCTCTGTCTCCCTCTCTCTCTCTCTCTCTCTCTCTCTCTCTCTCTCCTCTCTCTCTCTCTCTCTCTCTCTCTCTCTCTTTGTTGTCGGGTCTGTATTAACTCTGTTCGTTCGTCCTCCTTTCAGTACCTGATGTTATTGTTCATTATTTCACCTCCATTATCTTATTCTATTGTTTCTTCATTGCCTCCCTGTTCTACTGAATGTCAGCTCCTACCACCACCACCAATACTGCTACTGCTACTACTACTACTGCTACTACTCATCCTGCTTTTCTTCAACGTTCTCTTTGGTCTCCACTGACTTTGCCTTTGGTGTTGCAATCAGTCTACCTCTTACGCACCATGTGCTGCTGCTGTTGCTGCTCTTCGTGTTGGTGTCTCTAGCGTGAGAGAGATTTGTTGGTGTGTTGGTGGGGCGAGAAATACGGCCCTGGACACGAAGGCCTCGCTCTGCACGCTCACTGGAGAATTTTTTATTTTTTTCTCCCAGTTTTTCTGTTTTACTGGCGTTTTTTCTTTCATTCTTTTTTTTTTTTTTTGCATGGGAAATGCAAGAGAGGTGCGTGTGGCAGGTGCAGAACGCAGGCGTAAAGCCACCATGACCGGGTCGACGGCGCTCTTCTCAAAAATAAATAGTGCTGATCACTCATGCATTCCTGCCAATTTATTTCCTTTTGTTTAATCTTCCATAACGTTGGGATTACGCGCTATTGTGTGTGTATGTACTCACCTAGTTGTGGCTGCAGGGGTCGAGCCACAGCTCCTGGACCCGCCTCTTCACTGATCGCTACTAGGTAACTTTCCCTGCACCATGAGCTTTATCATAACTCTTCTTAAAGCTATGTATGGATTCTACCTCCACTACATCACTTTTCAGACTATTCCACTTCCTGACAACTCTGAATAAAACTTTCTAACATCCCTGTGACTCGTATGAGCATTCGACTTCCAATTGTGACCCCTTGTTGCTGTGTCCCATCTCTGGAATATTGTCTCTGTCCACCTTGTCGATTCCTCTCAGTATTTTATATGTCGTTATCTTATCCCCCCCTATCTCTCTTGTCCTTCAGTGTCACCAGGTCGATTTCCCTTAACCTCTCCTCGTAGGACATGCCCCTTACCTCCGTGACTAGTCTCGTTGCTAACCTTTGCAATGTGTGTGTGTGTGTGTGTGTGTGTGTGTGTGTGTGTGTGTTATTACTCTTCATATTAAAAGAGTCGTCACTAAACTCGCTAAAATATATATTCATATTAAACAAACTGATATCATCACAGAGAAGAGGTATGTAACCATCCAGGATGGTAATTCATCAAATTGCCAACGCACACGTGGAAGCACTAGCGAGATAATTTTTGACATTTTACCTCACACTAAGCGAGGCCTGGTCTCAGCCCGGCCGCGGGGGCGCTGACCCCCGAAACCCTCTCCAGGTATACTCCAGGTGTCCTTGTCAACAAAATGGAGTATTTGAAAAAATTATCTATTTTTATTTATGTATGGAAGAGCCTCAGATAAGTTTTATTTATGGTTGTGTATAAATTTGTCTAATACTTCCGAAGGCACGAAAATTTTATGGACATTATCAGAAAGTGATCAAGAATTGTAGAATTTATGTGGTGGCGGTATTTTGTTCGTAAGGAAACATTACAAAATTCTCGTGAGACACTGGTCTGTCAGATGATGATAGCGTCAGTCAGATGATGATAGCGTCAGTCAGATGATGATAGCGTCAGTCAGATGATAGTGCTAGTCAGATGATGATAGTGCTAGTCAGATGATGATAGTGCTAGTCAGATGATGATAGCGTTAGTTAGATGATAATGAGTGCCAGAAAATGAAAACAATAACAGTATGGATGAAGGAACGCGATTACGTACACTTTAGAGGTCTTTACTGAATACGTTACGGTCCTGTGGCCTCACTCACTCTAAACGATCATTTAGACACAAAAATGTGCAAGAAAGACGTGTTAAAAGTGTCCACTTGTGTCCTGCCATCCATGTTACTTGAATCAATTCACTTTGTACCTCTAGTGATGCCAGGTGTTTAGCTGATGAGTAAACCACATGTGCAGCATTCAAACATCTTGACTGTGGAAATGTTCCACCTGCGCATCAGTCTTCTTTAACCGAATACAGAATATGATAATACTGGAGACAGTAGAAGCGGAGAAATAATTTTGAGATCAGTCCCTCAGCCATGATAGATGATGGTCATCTCTTCTACTAAGAGGCACCTAAGTTCCCTCGTCTTCTAATAACATGTTAATTTTTCCACTATAATCTACCTTGTCCATAATTACTATTGCATTTGCTTTCTTTCGTAATGTGAAGTCGAGGATCTTTCCTTAATTCATGGTATAACTGAACACATCTTTGAGAACAATTGTGTTGCAAAGGTCTGAGTGTACTCAGACCTTTGCAACACTTTTGCAATTATGGTCAATAGTTATGGACAAGGTAGATTATAGTTGAAAAATAACGTGTTATTAGAAGACGGAGGAACTTACGTGCCACTGACGCCTGAGGGACTGATCACCTCAACATTAACTCTCCGCTTCAATTGCTTACAGTGTTATGAATCGACTGAATGTGACTGGAGAAACCTACTGTACTGGAACGTTTCAACACTCAAGATACTTAAGCTGCTGCATCATGTCAGTACTGTATTCCATTCACGATATAAATGCTTAAGTTGTTCTTTATTTCCAGGTTAGCTGGGAGGTGAGGAGGTCACTAGCTATGGCTGCTAATCTGGTGGTCACCTTGGTCGTCTTTCCTCTGCTACACGGCGTTGCTGCAGGTAGGTTAAGTTCCTGCCTCCCTCTCTGTTTATCCCGTGGCCGAATCTCACATTCCCCAGGAGATGTATAACCCTTACGGCTCTCGACGAACGTTAAAACGAATAGAAAAATAGTATTCTACTCTTAATGTCGAATAACGCTATACGTAAAGCACTAAACCAGTGTGGGCCATAAGAGAGAGAGAGAGAGAGAGAGAGAGAGAGAGAGAGAGAGAGAGAGAGAGGAGAGAGAGAGAGAGAGAGAGAGAGAGAGAGAGAGAGAGAGAGAGAGAGAAACAGAGAGTCTTTATACAGGATGTGTATGTGTGAGCATGATAGAGAGGGGGCATTACATTACAAAGGACTCGGCTGATTCAGCCATCATACTTTTCTGTGAGATAAGAGAAGTGTTAATGACGCTTGAGTTAGTTGTCAGGGAGGCAGGGATTAGTTGCTAGGGGGCAGAAAATAGTAGTGTGGGACAGGGAGTAGTTTTTCACGCGTGCTAGATGAAGTACAGGAAAGAGTTTGCGGTTTATGGAATTGTGAAGAACTACGGGAGGAAGCTATTCTGTCAAAGACGGAGGCACAAAAGCTAAAGAGGCTTTTATTGAGACAATATTTCCTTTTGAGAGGGACTAAATAAAGTCATGCTTCCCTCTGTGTGGATATCTGAGTGATGATAAACTGTTCAGTCTATTCAGTGGTAAACTATTGAATCATAAATTATTGAATCTTTCGAGTAAAGAACTATCGGGCGATAAACTATTGAATTTATTCAATGGGGGGGGGGAGAAACAGATGCGGGGAGAGAGAGAGAGAGAGAGAGAAAGAGAGAGAGAGAGAGAGAGAGAGAGAGAGAGAGAGAGAGACTAATGGAAAGCGAGGAAGGTTTTACAGAGCTGCGTATGGCATTTATGGAGACACAGAGAGGGACGAGTGATTGGATTAGGATTAAAAGGATATTGGCACAGGGGTGTGTAATATCCCTGTGACAGTTTAATACTTTAATATCTTAATATACGGTATTACCAAGATGACTATGTGTAGAGATATTTTCACTGAGGCAAGGCACTACAATGAAGGGTAATATACTTACCACCACTTGGTCTATTGTTATCTTTCTGTAAGCTAAATCATCACACGGCAGCAACCCAGCTTTAATATGAGGAATTATTGAGAGGACTATACAAACACTTATTTTCCGCACTTCGGCTATTTCCTAAGAATATCTGAAGACGGAAAAGACATAGAACATCACACGTCTCACATGTACGGCAACAGTGACGAAAAGAATAAGTTTTTATTAAGACAATGTTTCGCTCTGAGTAAAGCTTCAAGTCATGCCTTGGAAAAACCTCTATAACATGACAACTCCGCGCGAAACGTTGTCAGAGCTAAAACTTGATCTGCAACGTGAGACTTTTCTTGAAGGTAAATTACGACCTACCAAGTCACAAAAATACCACCTTGATTCAAACACGTAGATAATACTAGATAATCTTTAATCTAGACAGAAGCAAATGGCCAGATTGTGGACTTCTAGAGTACGCTATTATTTTCTCCCATGTACTCCCATGTATAGTGTAAGCAATGAACTTCCCCTCTTCAGAACTCAAGTCAAACTCTCCAGAGAAGTATTTTACCCACTGAATGGTATACGGGAGACGCGCTTCCTCAAAAGAAACGTATACAGAAAATTATTTCGTAAAAGCTACTGGTGCCTCATCAGCTTTTTTGGTTT